CAATTAGGCACCTTATTCATTAAGAGGTGGGTTTTTGTTTGTTTTTTACTTAACAGAAAGGCTTTTTTTCCATTTATGATGCCATAGGATACTAAGGATAGACATAAACAAAAAATGGTAGCCATTTTGCTGTAGCAGTCTGAAACAGAAAAAAACAAACCCCAAATGCTTAGCAAATGGTGGAAGATGAAATAAATGAGAATAAGAAGTTAATGTGCCATTACTACACACTGCAGGAAGAAATAAATGGTATGATTGATTGATTGATTGATTGACAGACTGAAAGATGGATAGACAGGAAGCTAGGGGATGTTAAATATATATATTAAAATATGAAAGGTTAAGCAAGCTATGGTAATGAAGTCTGCTCCTATACAGGCAAACAGTAACTTATATTAAACAATCAATTCTTGGCTTGCAAAATTTTAGCTTTTATTTCTGAAATCTAGTTTTTCTCCAGCTACATCCAAAATGTTAGGAAGTCAGATTCATTGCAGAAAGTTTATACCAGTAGTTAAACTGGAGATAGTCTCAGAAATTTAACTGGGAAAGGAGAAAGCACCTCCTTTTGTATATAATGAGATTTGGTAACTCACACACTTTCTAAGCATGCCAACAAAAGCATAAACAAACATGAACACCAGAGTAACCCATTATACATTATGGACTTCCCAAAATGGTTTTGACAAAGCCCTATTCAGGTGTTCCTCAATCATTTTCAGTTGCGCAAGGAAGGACGGAGGAGAGTGATGGTTTACTTGCTGCCTCCTCAGCCTCCGTTGCGTTCCTGATTCAGAATCCTGATTGTGCTGGGTTCCAAATCACACACGGGGCATCCACAAATAGAGCCAGCTCCTCACTACAGGCATTCGTCACCCAATGCACGCAGGGCATAAGAAGAGACCTGCTGGATCAGGCCCATCTAAGGCAGCATCCTGTTCTCAGTGGCCAACAGGATGCCCATGGGATGTCTGCAAGTGGGAATGCAACAGCATTCTTACCTACTTGTGATTCCCAGAAATCACGACACAGAGGCATACTACCTCCAACAGTGGATAGACAATGTAGCCATCATGGCTATTAGCATTTGATAGCCTCGTCCTCCATGGTTGGGCCCAACGGAGGGTTGCCCTGTGCATAGTGTATCGCCCTGGGATTGCTTTCCAATGAAATTCGGGCTTAAACTATTTAAATAAACAAGAAGGGAAATGCTTGAGCGGGAATACTTGAAAAGGACTTTAGTCTCTCACCAAAGGTCTCTGAGGGAACCTAGCAGTCATGTGATAAATCATTGGTTTAAAAACAAGATGTTAAGAGTAAGAGTTTTTAAGAGTTAAGAGTAAGAGCTGCTTCACAGTGGAAGGGATGGCAGGTAGGCATTGTGGTTCCTTAAAAGTATGTTTTCAGCCAGGTACTATTTAACATCGATAAACAACCTGGAGTCAGGGATGAGCAGAAAGTAGCCAAGTTTGCAGATAAAACTAAGTAATTCATAAGCAGAAATAGCTCCAGCAGCCTGGGATGATCTCCAAATGGATCTATCCAAACTGGGCAAATGGGAAACAAAACGAATGAGCGTCCGTGTAAGTAAGTGTAGACGTATGCACATTGGTGCAAAGCACCAAACCCAATTTTGCATATGCACTGATAATATATGGCATGGCTGTGATCAGTGCTGTTTTTCTAGAAAAAGAAGTACTGCAGCTCACCACGAACTTCTCCCTTGTTCTCTCAGAATGGCAATGGCGCCCATTTGAGAGGTGCTGAATCTGAAAAAAAAAGTCCTAGCTTTGACTCTCAAGAAAGTCATTCTGGGATTGTGGTGGATAGCCCAATGACAACAACTCAGTGTGCAGCTATAGAATAAGGGAAAGCTATAGAATCTTTGGCCCTCCAGGTGTTACCAAACTCCAGTTCCCATCAGCTCCAGCAAACATGGCTCACTGACCAGAGATAATAGGAGCTGTAGTTTAGCAAGATCTAAAGGGCTAAAGGTTCCAATCCCTGCTATAGAGTTTGAGGGGTTTATTTGTTCAGAAAAAAGACAAAGGGGCAAGCTAGAGGTTAGAGTTGTGAGTGGCGTAGATAAAGTGAGAAAAGAGATGTTATTTTCTCCCCCATAATACGGGGATTTGAGGTTGCTCAATGAAATGGATGAATCTTTCAGGACTGGCAAATACAAAGACACGCTTCTTAAGTCAATAATTAATTTATGGCATTCACTGCTAGTAGATGTGATGACCATTGGTCTAAATGCTTTTAGACACATTTATGGAGGGTAGGTGTATCAATGGCTATTAGTTACGACAGCTAAATGGAACATTCAGAAGCAGGCTGCCTCTGAATATCAGCTGGTTGGGAGCAGGAGGGCATACAACAGGAGATATTTCTTGCCTTTATGCCCTACTTAGGCATAAAAGCATTCTTGGAGGTATCTGGCTGGCCAGTTCGTAACAGGATGTTGGGTTGAATGGATCACTTTGTGTGATCTAGAACAGCTTCTCTTCTTAAGGTGGCCATGGACACAACAAACTTAAAGAGGGACCTCACACATGCCTTGCCATTTTATAGTAGCAAGTTCCAAGAGTACTTTTCTCCCAGATATTTATTTCCCCACCACTCTTGGCAAAACTGTATCCAGTTCTACAAAAGGGGAACCATCTTTCTAAAACAAAAGATTCATCAAATGGGAAGAGAAAGTGAGTTCTGACACTGGTTACATCATAAGCAATATATAATAAGCAAATCTCAGAATATTCATGTAAGCCCTTTCTACTGGTAAATCACAGTCACCATGAATGTGAATATCACCTCTTTTTCAGGCACAAAATATTGCAGAGGGAATGCTTGTGAAGTGCAATATTATTGCCATAAAAATATGACTTGGAGACCGCACACAACAAATGCGAAACAAAGACACATTTATTGTGTCAAAAACTGGCAAGTCCCTTCCTACACAACTTTCTCAAACAGTGTCCCTGCCACTTACCATTTATTTAATTGGATGTGAAAAGCATGGGACCATGCGAAGGTGCCCAATGCCAAATCAGACTATTGGTCCATCTAAATGTAAAGGACCCCTGACAGTTCAGTCCAGGCGCGAACGACTCTGGGGTTGTGGCGCTCATCTCGCTTTACTGGCCGAGGGAGCCAGCGTTTGTCCGCAGAAAGTTTTTCCGGGTCATGTGGCCAGCATGACTGGCGAAACCAGAGCAGCACATGGAAATGGTGTTTACTGTCCCGCCGGAGCGGTACCTATTTATCTATTTGCACTTTGATGTGCTTTCGAACTGCTAGGTTGGCAAGAGCTGGGACCGAACAACAGGAGCTCACCCCATCGCGGGGATTCGAACCACCAACCTTCTGATCAGCAAGCCCTAGGCTCTGTGGTTTAAACTACAGCGCCATCTGCATCCCATTGATCCATCTAGCTCAGTGCTATTTACACTTTCAGGCAGTGGTTTGCCAGGGTTTGGAAACCATACTTGTAAATGCCAGGGATTGAACCTGGAATCTTCCAGATGCAAAGCAAATGTTCCATCACTGCACTATAGCCCTTTGCCTAGTTGCACACATACGCGCACACACGCACACACAAAAAATATTGAAAATAGTGGTAAATGCTGCCTGTCAGGAGAGGCAGTTCTATGCACTGTTTTTATTGAGTCACAGCGGATTCATTGTTTTAGCTATGTCACTACTGCACAAAATAATTAGGGCATAATGCCCCCATCTGCTGCATACCATATTTCATCTTGGCACATCAGCCCTTTACGGAAGCTTTGCTACATTATTCTATTGTACCAAAGCCGCTGCAAAGGGTAACAGTTAAGGGACTCGTTTGTGCATTGTCACGATGCACAAGTGATAAGGAACCTCAACGGGGCCTCAGGAGGAGCCAATTTCTTTGATAAGAAGGAAAATGGCAAAAGGTTCTAGCATGTATCAGTTTACAGGATTAAAACAAAGAAAGCAAGTCGTTTGTCAAATTCAGCAAGATGTCCACATATTTCTCTGCAGCACAGCGCTCCTGTTTGCTGGATTGGCTCTCTCTCCTCCTCCATGACCCTATTTCTTAAATGTGTAATATGGTCCTTCCTAAGGAAACGTAGCAAGTTTCTATGGAAGAAACAAGCTCCTCACCAACTGTTAGGCAAGCAGTGTTTTATGAACAAGGCAGAGTGCCAACCTGTCCTACTCTTACAATTGGTTCAATGTGGACAACGATATACTACTTCCGCTTATTCAGCTGAGCAACTGGGCTTGGAGACAAAGCAACTCATTTGTTTTTCAACAGCTCTTTGCTACTCAGTGGCCTTCCCAATGGAGATGCCTAAATGTTTACTTCCCCCAAAATACATCAAGAGTTAGCGCTCCCTCCTAATTGTATATCCTGCATTTGAGATAGCTTCAGGATCCAGCAATTTTTCCCCCACCTGGACTTAACATACTGTTAGGCTCTGTTATGTGTATGGCACATTGTGGCCAAGCTGTCTTTGATGAAACTCTTAGATCCCAGTCAAAAGATAATCCTGCCTGCTGCAATTTACACACAGCTACTCAGGTAAGCCAAGTACTATTAGCTTTAACAAAATTAATACCCTGCTAGAAGAGTGCAGTTGAATTTGTACCTGAAAATCCCAGGTATCATTAGACCTTCTTTGTATTCTTTACCACAGATGCCATGCTAAAGAACACTAGAGTGCTGAAGTCTATGCTTTCTAAAAACTTGTGCAGTGACAGAATTAAAATAGTATCATTGCTTATGACTTGACACTGATTTACCATTAAGGGAATTTCAGTATATTAAGCACTTTCAATTTATCTAATTTTTAAATTAAAAACATACCCCTAGATCTAGAGCTCCATGTGTGCCCTGAAGTACAGATAGAGCTTCGCAATGAATGGGCTTTCCAATCCATGTGAGAGATTGGTAGTTCAGAGTGACAATTCACAACACAAAAACCAAACGCAATAAATGTCTTTAAGGCTGCTATTTTCAGATCATTTATTCGGGAATTGCCCCATTGAAAGACTTAAGTGGTTTGAGGTTTGCAGTACAATTATTTATTATTATTTTACTCAGAGCACTTTTCTGTTTCTCGCTTTGACACAAAAAGGAAGGTTTCTTGAAGAAAGAAAATCAAAGTTCCTTTGCCTCTTATCTGGGAGGGTGAGGGAGGAAGCATACAGTGAGAAATGCCAAGGTAATAAAAATAAGATGTTACCAATTCCATTCACAGTTTCACTCAATAAAGCAAGTTAGGCCAACAACACATTCTCAGACTCCTGTACCCAGTAGGAGACTTAAGCAGTGCCATTATTCCTAGCACCAGGAGTTGTATTATATCCTTTGTCAACATTTCATCAACACATTCTCTCTTTTGGACACTTGCAGTGTGATAGGAAACGGGAAACTTATGTAAGATTTGTAAATGTCTACGGGTTCCTCCTACACATACACAACAAAACTGCTCTTTTATCAGCATCAGAGTTGACAACAGATGTATGCCTAAAGCAAATTTGGGGAGGTGGCGATTCTTCCTGAGGTGAAACATCTGAGGAGTTTCAAGGGGAGCAAAAAAAAGAAGAAAAAGTTTCAGAACATGAACATTTCTTCAGTGGGTTCCTGCACATCTCAAATATTCGTTTGGGTTTCTGTTGAGAGATTATTACACAGACAAGGAATTGATTTTAGAGCTACTAAAGATAACACCCATAATGAAAATGAAACAACAATTTACTTTTAATTATAATCTGAATTCCAAATATTTACTGAGTGGTTGTGGGGAGGGGGGTATATGTGTGTGTTCGATAATGTTGTGAGGAAACATGTTACCTATTGATATATGTCACAAGCTGAGGTGGGGAACCTGTGGCTCCCTAGTTGTTATTGTTGTTGGAGTACAGCTCCCATCATCCTTGACCGATGGCCAGGCCAGCCAGGGCTGATGGAAGTTGGAGTCCAGCAACATATGGAGAGCCATGGGATTTCCATCCTTGGTTCTGGGCAAACTGAATCACAGGCTTTTTCCTTTTCCTTTTTACATCAACTGTAGTTAAAATCTACTCTTTTAGGTGTGGTTTCAGATCCTATTATACTAGAAACAAATGAATAGTACCATTACATCTCTGCCTGCCAGCTTTTCTCCCACATAGCTAGCTATAAAGCTGTTGTTCAAAGCTGAAAAGAACATACTATGCTCTCAGAAGTACTGTGTTTAACTCACAAATGTACATAATACCGTCTCAGATGCTTAGCTGAACTACATTTTCCTTCAATAATATTATCCATGTTTCACTTGCCCACATCAATCTATACATGCTCTTATTTAGTACATTGCTTGTGTGCCCTCATCACAAATGAATGATTGTAAAATGTTGTGGGTGATGACTTGGGTACCATGACCATTTGATAACTCCTAAGACAGGGGTAGGCAAACTAAGGCCCAGGGACCGGATGCGGCCCAATCGCCTTCTCAATCCAGCCCGCAGGTGGTCCGGGAATCAGCATGTTTTTACATGAGTAGAATGCATTATTTATTTAAAATGCATCTCTGGGTTATTTGTGGGGCGTGCCTGGTGTTTTTACATGAGCAGGATGTGGGCTTTTATTTAAAATGCATCTCTGGGTTATTTGTGCGGCATAGGAATTCACTCATTATTATTTTTTCAAAATATAGTCTGGCCCCCCACATGGTCTGAGGGATGGTGGACCAGCCCATGGCTGAAAAAGGTTGCTGACCCCTGTCCTAAGAGTTGCAAAATGGGTAAATTTTATATACTGATCACAAGAACTGCTTTGGGAAGTGTGGCAATATCCTTCCTTTATTCATCCTTCCCATCAAGCTAATTCTCACGTTGCAGTCTGGAACATGGGGGGACACAATGTTCCCCTTCAACTTCTGATCGATACTTAGGTCCTGCTGACAGTCAAGAAGAGACTATGTGCTTTTGATTTATTCCTTTCTCTTTGTCCCCACTGCCCATTTTTCAACACACTCATGATCTAACTCCATGCTAGACAGGAGATCTCTAATCCGCTCTCCTGATGCTTAGAGCTGGGCTGGGGAACATGTGGCCATTCAGTTGTTGTTGGACTACAATTCCCAGGCACCCTTGAACATTGGTCTTCCTGCCTGGAGCTGATGGGAGTTGGAGTCCAACAACGTCTGGAAGACAATGCAGAGCTAGAAGACCAATGGTCTGACTCAGTGTAAGCCAGTTTCCTATGTTCCTAGATAGGCTCCCCGCACTATTTAGAGCTTTGCATGACTTGGGTTCTAAATGGCATGTAGAGCCCACATACCCAAATCAGGCTCCTTGCTGTACACCTTCACCCTCCAATGCACGGGGGACAGTGGGACCAAGCCATTAGGGGTATACACAGCCCTCATTTCCCTCACACATGTTCAGCACTAAACTTTTAAACAAAACTTCTGCTTCCCTAACGCCTCATGCTACTGATATTTATGAGAACGGTAAAATTGTGAGTCTGAGATACGCCTGAGCTCTGCAGCAATGATAATATGGCAGAGCTTGCTCCTGTCCTTGTCAAATCCCTCTGGAAAGGGATCCTTTATGAATGAAGCCGAAAGAGATTTTTCTATTGACCTTAACCAAGCTGTTGAGCAAGAATGGAAATTGCATCTGGCAGAAAATGTATGTACATTATACAACAGCTCCAATCATGTGCCAGTCACAAATACCTTATGGTTTTAAATGTATTTTATGTTTCCAATAAAAAGAGGAAGAATGCACAAGGGAGATGGAAGCAACTATACTAACAAAAGATAAATTTTAAAATGTGTTGCATCCTTAATACTTTATATTTTATTTATAGGAGAGTTACCTATTTGCTTAGGGTAGAGCTTTTGGTACAGCCTAAGATCTTGGCTCAGGGTACAGCAAAAGGAACTTTTGTGCACAGAGTGGGAGTCACTTATTTGTTCTGTCTGCACACACTTCTTTTTATTTACTTATTATTTATTTCAACATTGCATATACCTCTTAACCCCGTAGTCTCTAGGCAGTGCATAGTGAGGTTATAAAAGAAACAACACAGATAAAACCAGCTAAAATGAATAATAAAACCAAAGCGCTAACTTTAAATGGCAGCTGAAATAAAAAGGTCTTCACCAAGTGCCAGAAGTTCACCGGGAAGGCACATGTTGAATCTTAGCTGGGAGGGAGTTCTATAAAATTGGGCCCATAATACTAAATATACAACTGCTTGTGGGTGTGAGCTGTGTGTCCAAGCCATGGGGGATCATTAACAGACTTCTCCCAAGACCTCAGTGATTTAGCAGGGACGTACGGAATCAGGTGGTCCCCTAAGATTTCCTGGACCCAAGTTGCTAAGGGCCTGGTAAATGAATAAAAAATATATTGAATTTGTGCTGGTAGCATATAGGCAACCAGTACAAGTCTTCTAGCATCAGAGTTATATTATGGTGGTAGTCTGTTTCCACCAATCGTCTAAGCGTGGCATTTTGAGGTCTGGGAGGGCAAAACCGCCTCTTTCTTTTATATCTGTAAGTAACTTATGCTTTATCCTTGGCCTTTTGCAGCAGTTGCAGCTTCCAGACCAAACTCATCGCAGTAAACAAGACTTGAAGTTACCAATAAAGTAAGACAGTTGAACAAGCTTCCTCAGGAGTTGGTGGGCTCTCTTCACTGGAGGTTTCTGAGCACAGGTTGGATGGTCATCTGTCATGGATGATTTAGTTGAGATTCCTGCATTGCAGAGCATTGGACTAGATAACCCATGAGGTTCCTTCCAATTCTATGATTCTATGAATGCATGAATCACTGTGGCCAGGCTACCCCTGTCCAAGAATGGCTGCAGTTGGTGTACCAGCCATAGTTGGTAAAGGGCACTCCTAGCCACTGAAACTATCTCAGCCTCCAGTGACAAAGATGATCCAGGACCAACCTTAAACTATGAACTTGTTCTTTCAAAGGGAGTCCAACCCCATCCAGAACAGGCAACTTGGCCCATCACCCAGATAAGGGAACATCCATCAACAGTGCCACCATTTTTTCCAGGGTTCAAACTCAGTATATTGGCCCTCGTCCAGTCCACTACAGCACCCGAAGAATAATCCAAAGCATACATAGCCTCTCCTGACTCAGACGTTATTGTGAAAACGAACTCTAGAGGGACAGGGGAATCACAGAGGGACTTTTTAATAAGCACAGTGGGCTGCAGCTACAGGGAAACTGAAGGTTCCCCCTCTCTGGACAACTTGAAGTGCTTATCATTTGCTCAGTGGGTTTTTTGATCTTTGCCAATGTATAGTAAAACAAAAACAAAAACTGCAGGCTTCTTGCTGCCATGCTAAGTAGGCACTGACATCTGGAATTTTTTTAGGTACAGACAACAAAATTTAGAGCAAACGTCCCATCTCTTATGCTCAGGAACCATTGCCTACCCTACTGAGATAATGAAGATGGAAACCAGGAAGCATTTATGACAGTGAATTGCCTTAACACAAATAATACTTTTTATAAGAACAACATGATAATACTTTGTACGCATTCTGGGAGCTGGAAAAGTTTTAAAACTGTTGAAAGTGTTCACATCCTTTCCCTCAGGTAATCCTCTATAATGCTGTAGGAATTATTCTTTGTTCTACAGGAAAGGGTAATGAAGGCTACCTGTCAAATCCTGCCATTATTCTGCTGCACAATGCAAGCCTTCTCTCAGCTGCCCAGACACCTATCAACCCTCTGTATGCACTTCTTCATACACTGAATACCAACCTCCAGGAAAAGAATGAAAGCAGAACCTATTCTGACCTTTCCTGCCAGCTGGGGTCGACCTTTCCGACCTCATTAGAGGGCCGAGTACGGAAGCCTAAATAAAGAGTTGTTGATACACTTGAGGGTGAATTAGAAGAAGCAGGAATTTGTCCGGCTAAGGAGCAACTATACTTTTTCCCCAAAGCACTGAGTTACTGTGCATTTTCTATCGTTTTGCTTGCTTGCTTTTATTTATTTTCTATATAGATGCAAAAAAAATACAGTTATGCCAAAAAAAACCAGATTACCAAATATCGCAAAAAATAATTGATAAGAAGAAAAATACAAAGAAAATTATACATATAGCAGAAAACAAAAGAGAGAAAAGAAACAGAATTATAAAGATTAGAAAAAAGTCAGAAGAAAACTAGAAAAAATTGACTTCCTTCGACCTCTGTACAGTCTATATGGTCTCGTATCTTAGGTTGTCTGTAATCATTTTAAATTTTATGGAGAGATAATTTGTTTACCTGTGGAGTTTTTAGTCTAGACTAAGCCAATCACAGTTTTGGGAACCGACATTCCTCATATAATTTGTAAATTATATGAGTTACTGTACATTTTCATCAGACAGCCCAATAGATTATCGTTTTCCTCTTCCATTTTCCATGCACAGAGAAACAAAAGACAAAAAGATGGAGACTACAATGCTCTTCATCCAGAGCAGACCCATTTACTTCAATGGGATTCCCTCAGAGTAAACGGAACATGGAACATACCTGAGATGCACATTAAAACCAGTGAAAGAATGGCTAAGATCACAGGCCGCACTAAGTATGCAGGATTGCGTGTGGGTCTTGAGCAGATTCAGACTTTCATCAGACATTTCCGCACAGTGTAAAAAGGTAAAGGTAAAGGACCCCTCACAGTTAAGTCCAGTCGTGAACGACTCTGGAGTTGTGGCGCTCATCTCACTTTACTGGCCGAGGGAGCCAGCGTACGGCTTCCGGGTCATGTGGCCAGCATGATTAAGCCGCTTCTGGCAAACCAGAGCAGCACACAGAAACGCCGTTTACCTTCCCGCTGGAGCGGTACCTATTTATCTACTTGCACTTTGACGTGCTTTCGAACTGCTAGGTTGGCAGGAGCTGGGACCGAGCAACGGGAGCTCACCCCATCGCAGGGATTTGAACCACCGACCTTTTGATTGGGAAGCCCAAGGCTCAGTGTAAAACCAAGGCAATCAGGGACATCACACATTACAATTTTAGCAAAGCAGCTATTTCCATATGGGCAAGTCCCATGTCATTCTGGCATCATGCAGAATGGGAGTGTGTGGTATAGAAGGTAGAAAAGGGAAGGGAAAGGAAGGCCCTTCGATAAATAAATTTGAGAAACCCTGCTTTTACCCAAAGTGATACACTAAATGGATATTTGCATGAATAATGAGGGATCCATATAGGTAAAGGCCAATTTATTCAACCTTCTAAATTAAGGTACCATTAATTTGATTTTTTTATTGCAATTTGGGTGGGGGGGGATAAATAAATCATGAATCTTTGATCATGAGCCTTGGGGTTGTGTTTAAGTATAATAAATCCAGAAGGGATCACAAGAACCTGCCTTATACTGATTCAGGCTTTTGGGTCCATCTAGCTCAGCAGTGTTTACACTGCGTGGCAATGGCTCTCCAGGATTTCAGACAGGGAGTTTCTCTGAGTCTTACCTGGATTGAACCAAGGTCCATTTGCATGCAAGGCAGATGCTATAGAACCAAGCTAAATTCCATCCCCATAAAGCAGAACCATGGAGATAAACAAAATGAGAGGGGTTATTTACCTGTATTTCCTATGGTGCTTTCCTGCTCAGTGAACCCACCAGGTGGTTTTGAAGGGTGGGGTTATATTGTTGGTTCTTGAGGCGTTTTGTTTCTTCATACAAGTTATGCCTCTGCTGTAGCAAGTTGACACCAAACAACATGCTTACTTAAATGTCTCTTTTGCTGCACCGATGCCTATATAATCCCACCTCTTTACATATATAAATTTGTGTCCCTTGCAGCCCCATTTCATTCAAAAGGTGAGCTGGTATCAATTTTCACAGCTGCAGGGTCAGGGACCTTATGATGGTTCCCGTTCAGCTGTCCTCACCACAGAAGCAGGATTTAATGACATGGTGGTATAAAACAGCTGAGTCTCAGCTTTACTACATCTTTCATTGTTGATACTCAGGCATAAATAAATAAGGAATCTGATGTTTGCCATGTAGTCACAGGCGCTTAAAGCATTATCTTGCAAGTTAGAACTTCATCTTACACCCACCCATCCCAAAACTAATGATTTATCTTTGAAACATCTGCTTTTATTACAGACTGTTTCTTGGTGTGTTGTTTTTTTGTTCCTTTTAAAGCTTGCAAGGTTCACTAGAGGAAAGCTCTTCTGCTGTATGACCAGGGGAAAATGAGAAGTAAAATTATAATCACCTAGCAATTACTCCCTTTTATGTGGAGCAACACTGCACCTGTATAATTAACTATACATCTTTCAAAGATTTCCTCTAAGCCCCTCCATGTGATACCAGGAGGAAGAGGAGGAGGAGAAAACTAAGACCGCAGCTTTCAGTGTGAGGGATTGACTCAATCAAAAGTCATCCCAGACATCAAAGAATGCCTCTGATTACCCTTACTCACTGATTAACATACCATTACAGCAGTGATTGGTGTTGACATTTCTGAAGGAGGACAATCCACAGGAGGTGATAGTCTAAAGCATTGCCATATACTATGGCGTCAACAATTTGCCATCTCATAGTGTGCATGTATAGGTGTATAATCCTTAAGGATGAAAAAGAAAAGTTGCCTCATAACCAAAATACTTGACAGTAGGGATGGGGGAGCAATTCAATCTAAGTCACAGTTTTCAATAAAATATGTGAGCTTAAATTCAGCTATCCTCTGAATCATGTTTTTTTTCCTTAATTTTGTGACAAAGTTCTACAACCAAGTAAAAGCGTGTCTATTAGGGAAAGGTGAGTATAAAATGCATATACTAGGGCATGCAAAAAATACATTATACTGGGATAAATTGCTTGCAAAAGTGTATTAAAATGCTGGTGAATTTTCAAGGGGATTTAAAAAAATAATCACAGACCAATGCAGAAATGTTTGGAACTGAATTTAAGATAGAAAAAAAAATGAAACTGACAGATTTGTCTATCGCTTACTGGCAGTTATTGAATTCTGACAAGGAGGGCAAAGGCTGCATGCAAAAATACTGTTTAATATCGTTTGTAAAGGCTTCGGCCTTAAGAGATCAATTATTTTTTCCCCTTCAGCACCTCCTGCCTTGGAAGTGGTGGTCTAGGGATAGGAATCAGGCAGAAGAGCAAAGCTGCTACTAAGAAGACCTGGGCAAAACACACACACTTTAAAAAAACATTTAAAACTCACAGGTCAGGTACGCAAGTTTTAATAAGAAACAAAACAGCGCTACTTAACTAGTCCACTCTTAGCATGATAATGGGAGGGTGCTGCTAAGAGATAACCATTCTAAAAACGAAATTGACATGGCTAAACTGTCATGGTAACAAATCACACACCAGTGAGCAGTCATATCTTCACAGAATGTGAGCAGCATAATGCTCCGTTGTTCCCTTCTGAGGGGGATTGTTCCCTTATTCTATAATGGGCAAACCACCCAAATAATGACAGGGAAAGGAAGCAGTACAGCTCCTTTGCCAAACCCTCTGCACAACTGTAGGCATGATTCCAAAGAAGCTCTGCATAAACCTTTAATTAAGAAAGCCACCCTCCAGATAATTAATGAATGTGCTTGTCAGGGGTTCAGGAGCAGAGGCACAGGAAAGGGAGGAAATAGAGAGCGAGGGGGAGGAGTCCGAAGGAAATGTTAGCGATGACAGCGGTCCGAGGTCTCTGAGTCTTTCCAGCGAATCGGAAGATTCACAGAAAGGGCTCCCTTGGTCAGAGCAAGGGGGTGCCGAGGGGACACCCCAGGAAGAAGGGGCCAGAGGGGACTCAGAGAGCAGCAGTTGGAAATCAGGACCAGCGTCCACACCAGAGTGCAGAAGGGGGGAGGAGTCCCAGGCATCGGGATCAGGCGGCGCACTGCCAGTGGGAGGACATGAGTCAGGATTGGCCACGCCTCCATCGGGGAGCGAGGAAACGGTCGAGAGGAAGGTTGAAGGCTGGGTGCGCGCGCCAAGTTCAAATGTACAGGAGGGCGGCGCAGTTGGCAGCCCGGATAGGAGCCAGGTCCCAAAGCCCGCCGAAAAGAGGGGGAGGAGTCAGGGGGGGTCAGCGTCAGAAGAATCCAGGAAGGAAGGGACCCCGGGGGGTAGCAGGACCCAGAGGAGAAAGGAGAGACGTAAGAGGTGGAGTAAGGCTAGAATCTTAAACTGGTGTACAGGGGCGGAGACTCAGATGGAGCTTCGCCGATCTAACCCCTAGACGTAGAGCTGGGGCGCTCCGGCTTGAAAATGGAAACTGTACTTCAATAAAGACTTTTGTACATTACTGCCGGCTAGCGTTGGTCCTCTGTGAGCTGGGACCTGGAGCCAGCACTGACAGTGCTCCAAAACATTTTCATGACCAAAGTCCACAGAAGGAATCCCTCTGCAAATTCGAGCCATGTCGGGTCTCTGAAATAAAATCCTAAAGCCCCAACCCATAAAAAAGGAAAAAGAAACCCATTGGTAACCAATGCAGCTAAGCTAACCACGACTAAATTTTTAGTAAACTTGGCCATCAATTTCTCTGCCATCTGTAGTTAAAGCTGCAGTCGCTTGGCTAAGAACTGTTAGAAACAATGAGCAGGAACACTGACTTCCTAAGAGTAAGAAAAAATGGCAACAAGTATTAATTTAGAACTACCAACAGCATAATCCTCATCATGTTTACTCTGGGGTTTATCTGAAATTGTTGAAAAATTATTTTCCAACAAACTTTTTTTTTGGGGGGGGGGTTATTATTTTAGCTCTGCCTGAACTGCTGGCAAATTTCAGTCCTCCGCTGGAGAATAATGAATGAAATTAACTCCCCACCCTGTATCACTGCCACTATACAGAATGGAGAATTTTGAGAGGCCATTTTTGCTCAGCTTCAGTTTTCTAAGAAGAATGAGACTAATTCCATTATTATTATTATTATTATTATTATTATTATTATTATTTGTATACCACTCTTCATCTGTAGATCTCAGGGCCGTTCACAGCATAAAAATACAAGATAAAAACACAAAATACAAAAACAAAATACAAACAACATCAAAACAATAACCCCCTCCCTCTCCCTAGTAAGTGTACTTAAGATTGCAGCCTTAGTTGTTATTTAATTAAAAGCAATGTTCTGCACTTCAGCCGAGCAATATACTGTTTCTATTTTTTTAAAAAAAGAAACACCCTTGAAGCAGAGTAATTTTATATCTATAGAAATCTGCATCACATGTTTTATCTATCAAAGGGACCCTGCAGAATAAAGTTTTCTCACATTTGACTTTTTCACTATTACACTTACAGTACCAATAGATATTTATGCCACAGTTGTTAGCTGTTCACTTGTATAAACAGGTAAGTTCTGGCATGGCACTTTCCCTTTGCACCTCTAACTTCCACCCAAGGTGTCACCCTAAAAGGTATTTTTAGGAAACTCTGCTGGCTTCAAATCCACAGTGATAAATAAGTCAATTGTCCCACTTCACATTCAGCCATCGTTGTGCAATGTTTTTAAACTCCCAGTCTTCAAACCTACTCTATGAAAACCTCCAGAGTTCATTTTTCCCTCTTGGCTCAGGCAACCCCCTCAATGTCTTGAGGAGGACGTTCTGATGCAACCTATTGCATCACACTGACATACATCAAAATGTCTGTCTTTCTCTTTAGGGGAGGAGAGAACGAAGACACAATATCCTGGAAAATGGCTGCCAGCCATTCTAGCTCCTGGTGTTCCAAGTGAGTTGGCCCTTTCCTTTCCCCAGCCACCAATGTGATAGCCCACCATCACAGAGCTACTCAGGGAGCATGTTGCCCCAAGGGGAGGGGAGATGTAGTTTTGAAACAGGTTTCTTTTCCCCCCCAACCCTTCTAATTGTCTTTTCTTCTATATTATACAATTTTAACTGATACTTATTGATTTGTAATTTCTTTGTAAACCAGTATACAGTGGTGCCTCGCAAGACGAAATTAATCCATTCCGCGAGTCTCTTCGTCTTGCGGTTTTTCGTCTTGCGAAGCACGGCTATTAGCGGCTTAGCGGCTATTAGCGGCTTAGCGGCTATTAACGGCTTAGCGGCTTTAAGAAAAAGGAAACAAACTCGCAAGAACTCGCAAGACGTTTCGTCTTGCGAAGCAAGCCCATAGGGAAATTCGTCTTGCAGAACGAATCAAAAAATGGAAAACTCTTTCATCTAGCGAGTTTTTCGTCTTGCGGGGCATTCGTCTTGCGGGGCACCACTGTAATGATATTTGCCTGAAAATCAGTATATAAATATCTTATCACCTCACAATGTGTGAAAGCCTACCTGGCATTGAACCATTGCTACTTACAAGAACATTACTACTACAGAACAACAAACCCCTGTGTTGCCAACTTAACATAACAAACAATACAAGCAACACGCAGACCAGTATACTAGATAGCACTGTAATTCTTATCGCATAATATACATGATTTGGTACAACAAAAACAAAATGTGTGCACTTGTAAATTCTCTAAAATGTTTGAAATCTATTGAACACACGTCTGCCAATCTTTGAAAGTCCGTAGAAGTATAATAAGTCTATGGTTGAAACAAAGTAATAGATGCTATCCTGTGGGCTAAGCGGCAAAACTTTTTTTAGGCGTTCATGGTGCTGAAGTAGTAGGTGAATAACAACGGACAGTGATCCCAGATAATCTGACTGTTTCACTGGAATCTTCTTCAGCACAACCCATAGATTAGAAAAATGCACAAGGAGCAGTGGTCATGAGGATATTACAAGAACATAACTGAAAACTATGTCAAAGAATGGCAATCCATAATAAAAAAGTAACCCAATGTATGGCAGAAGGTAAAACAATGAAGGATATATAGGCAGACATGTAGGAATTTGTGAAACACATAAAGCAATGTTGTCCTTTACATGCAATATAATTTTGTTAGCTTGGGCAGAGCAGCAAATTGCAAGCCACTCCCAAGTAATGGTCCATACATAGCATCAAAGGCTGATCAAGTTAATTCTGGCGCCAGAGGCAAAATAAAACCCACTGTCATTTTCTCTGTGAATAAAAATATAATAAATAACCAACTATTTTCATGACACCAAAAATTGGCTGGTTGGCCAGTTAGAACAGGAGGCTGGCCTAAATGGGCCTATGGTCTGATCCAACAGCAATCTTGTTCTTATGTTAGCTGTCTGAGGGAGCTGCCTCGCAGTGACGCTACTGCACTACAAGTTTGTTTAAATGTTTCGGAACGCGCTGTGACATTTCCTTTAGATTTGTAAGGGGGGAAATTAAAAGTTGTGTGAAGACATTCTCCTTCTCGCAATGGCTATGAAACGGTCATAAAATATCTATGTGAATATCACAATCTCTTACAATTTATTCAATATTCTAAATTATTCAATGCATTTTCAAGTGTATGGATTAATTTTTCAATATGTTTTTGATGGTGCTTGGGAGCCAACAATTATATTTAGTTCCGATGATTCTGGTAAAAAAAGTAGTGCCAAGATATCTATGAATAAATCGGTTTCTACCTGCCCATCTCTTGCTGAATCTCACCTGGTTCCTGAGAAGCACAGTGATCTCAGAATTTTCAGAATTCATTGGGTGGCAGGCCTAGGCCTTCCTGAGAGGCATAATTAAAGCTGAACTCTCGTCTTCTGTATGTTGTTAGGCTTTATTGAACTCCTGTGCTTTTTCTTGCTGTTCTTAGTCATTCGCATTGATGGTTTTCTTGTGTATTTTTGTGAAATTTGTGTTTTTCACTTGCCATACATTGTATATGCTAAACAGTATATAAATGGACTTGAATAAATACACATACACAAAACGTATACTCAGCAAACACTCACCTGTTTTATCTACTACCACTACACCTTGTCAACACTTCCCAGTCGCCTCTTTAATCTTTCTCAGCCTCTCCTTATTCCTGCACCTTATTCCTACTATCCTTTCATTATTGTTAGTAGTAGTAGTAGCAGCAGCAACTAACAGCGGTAGCTGAATGCCAGTTAATGATGTTGCTGCTGTAACAAGGCTTCCCATATTTTTTTAATGTTTTTTTTTCTGTGGAGCCTAGAAAATTAGTGGATGTGGTTTGCTGTCTGCCATCAACAGGAATTCATATTTATACAGCGTTCTTGCAATTATAGTACTGATTAATGATAAGTGCCCTGCTGTCTGCAATCTATTCCTTTGAGGGAACCACATTTTATGTTCCAAAAAATGTTTTATACCTCTTAGTGATGCATTATTATTCTTTGCAGATCAAAGATCATGGTTGTCATGGAAACTGCAAAAACTGGAAAGCCAGTCGTGACATAGCAATGGCATAATGGGGAAGATCTGCTGGGAAATCACTCACTAGCCTGGGGTTTTGTGTTGGAAATGCTTGGGTGAATTTAAGTGGAAAGCCAAGTCGTTTCTGAGATCTAAAAGCATTGTGGTATTAAACGCAAAATATCAGTCGCTGTTACAATCAGCATGCTTGACTGTGTGCAGTGCAGCAAAAAAACATGTTCCTAATTTTTTCTTCCTCCAAATGGGATGCAGGAATACTACAGTTTTATTAATCCCATTTTCTACAATCCCACAGCAAGCTTTTGTGGATATATAGCATGCCATACTCCTAACCAAAGGCTCAGTTCCTTGAATTGCAGGCTTTAAAATTTATCCAAGTCATTTGCAGAATTAACAACAACGATCCAAATACAGTGGTACCTCGGGTTAAGAACTTAATTCGTTCTGGAGGTCCGTTCTTAACCTGAAACTGTTCTTAACCTGAGGTACCACTTTAGCTAATGGGGCCTCCTGCTGCCACCGTGCCGCCACCGTGCAGTTTCTGTTCTCATCCTGAAGCCAAGTTCTTAACCTGAGGTACTATTTCTGGGTTAGCGGAGTCTGTAACCTGAAGCATCTGTAATCTGAAGCGTCTGTAACCCGAGGTACCACTGTATGAGAATGAAAGTTGACAAGGAATAAGCAGATGGGCCAATGACAGAATGAATACTTGACTTCATGGTAATCGGTGTGGAACACATTGCAACATGTTAATTTCCAGTGTTAGAAAATGTCGGTGTGTGTGTGTGTAAGAGTCTTGATATCTGCAAGTTCCATCTTTCCATGCCAGAAGCAGAGAAGCTGTGGCCCTCCAGATGTTGGTAGACAACAACTCCCATTAACTCTGACAGTTGGCGATGCAGGCTGAGGCTGATGGGAGCTGAAGTCCCAACACCATCTGGAAGCCCATAGACATTCCGGTTCCCATTCCGGTTCCAGAACTTTCTTTTGGAACATTTGGACAGCCTGACCATGAATGCTGTTGCACCGGTACTTATGCAGTACTTATTTTACCCTATTTGGGGAAAGTATAAATCTTTCATCTAAGTGAAGTTTCTGAAGCATAGGGTTAAACAATTAGGGTTACAGGCATCCTGAGATACACTTCCACTAGCTGGTGTGTGTGTTACCTGAGGTACCATAAGACACACAGACATTTCCCCTTACTTTTAATCCTGGGAAGTTTCTGTTAATAACTTTTAAATCTGTACTGTAAGTCTATGGTGGGCTGTCTGTCCTATCATACTGGATTATGTAAACAATTAAGTAGATATGTGTGTGTGTGTGTGTGTGTGTGTGTGTACACACACACACACACACACACACACATATACAGACATACATACATACATATGTGTGTGTATATGTGTGTGTGTGTGTGTGTGTGTGTGTATTTCAAAGTGAAAACATTGCCCAAAAAAATTGTTTAAAAAAGAACATGGATCCACCTTCCGTAGCATCTGGTACTTACGAATAAAATGATTTGAAGTGGACAGATTGACACTATCAGCATCGTCAGCGCTTTTGCCGCTAGAAACTTCATCATCCGATTCCCACACAGAGAAGATTGAGGAGCCGCCAACTTCTTCAAACTTCCTCATTAAAATTCCACTCATAGCTTCAGCATTGTCACATGTACCTGTCAGAGGAACAGGAGAAATGAAGCATGAAAACATTTGACCGCTGACCATGCTATCAAGATCTCCAAAGTCATTGCTGGAGGGTTTTTTGTTTTTTTTACAAACATACTTGGCTTCTGTTTCTGCCTGGAGACTGGTACTTTTACCAACAGTCAAACTGGAATTAAAAAACCAAACATGTACGTGTTTTGTTACAGACACATACTTCCTCAAATAATTGGGCAGGAACAATCAGTTCTACAGCTTGGCTCAGGCACTACAAGTCAGCAGTGGACTTGATGTGCCCCTGCACAACGGAGGGAATCTTACGTATAATATAGCTCAACAGCTTTTGGGGTGTGCTGGTTTTTACTTTTGGAAGTATGGCAACCCTAACATAAAATATGCAAATACCTAATTGTGAAAAGAGGCCCAGTTTGAGCAATCTTCCAGCTCTTTTTCGGAAGAGAAAGCATTGCATAGCATGGATCAGGCATCTATTTCATCTGGCATCCTTGTGGAACGGCTACCCCACATCAGGACGTGATTTGTACAGTGGATGGAAGAAAACTGTGCCTGCTCTTCTACCATTTGATGGTTCTTACCACCCAAGTAACTGCACAATCCTATTGCAGGCAAAACAACGAATGATGAACAGTCTTTCCAACACTGAAGAGGCTGGCGTGCTCACCTGTTTGCCTATATAAGTATGCAGCATTTTTATTCAGATGTTAATTCCCACTGCATGCATTCAATGGGATTTGTTTCCTAATAAGCCACATATTTATGATTGCGGCCAAATGTCTGAATGGGTCCAGCGTTAATATGTAGTATTTGGTTACACAGGAAAGGCTGTTTTATGTCATAGTGCCCTCAGGTTCTCCTCACCCACTGATACTAGGCTTGAAAACTTTATACCATAGCCAATGTTAACTCTTCCCTCTCCAGCTGTAACCCCCTCCCCCAAAAATGTTCCTCTCCACTATGCAAAATACTATTTGTTGGCTTAGAAGGAAATACATGGGATGGTAGGGCAATCCCAGAGCCATCCCAGCTCAAGGACATAGCTCTCCCACCTTTCTCAGACTTGGAGGACTTTATTTGGTTGGTGAACATAAACACACTTAAAGCTTACACATCTCCCCAATGCAATATTCCCCTGTAGACCTAGTCTGCTCCTTAGAGGCAGCAATGAGCTGGAAGAATCCATAGGTAACAGAAGGGACAGTACCAGTTCAGGCTGCAAGTGGAAGCACCACAATTTGCTCTCCAACTTTAAAAATGGAAAAAAGTAGTAGGATGCAGGGGCATAGCATGAAGGGTCAGAGGGGAGCCATGGCCCCAGGCTTACAACTTTTGAGGGGTGCAAATCAGGCACCCCAGCACGGTGCTGCTCTCCGCCTGCCAAGGGCTGCGTCTGCTGGTTGGGCTCCCCTTGCACGGGCAGGCAGCAGCTCAGCTCAGCCCAACTTTTCTCCGGTGGGATCGCTCAGGAGGCGTTCTACAGCTCATCTCTAGCCATCAAAATGTTTTTCTTTTAACCCTGCAGAAATCTGGCACGGACTGTGCCATCTAGCCTTCATTTGATCGCTACGTTGTTAGAATACCCACCTACCATGGGATGCCTCTGAAAGGTCATCTGTGAGAGAAATGCAGCCCTCTGGTTGAAACAGGTTCCCCATCCCTTGACTTTACAGTGGTACCTCAGGTTAAGTACTTAATTCGTTCCAGAGGTCTGTTCTTAACCTGAAACTGTTCTTAACCTGAAGCACCACTTTAGCTAATGGGGCCTCCTGCTGCCACCACACCACCACCGTGCAATTTCTGTTCTCATCCTGAAGCAAAGTTCTTAACCTGAGGTACTATTTCTGGGTTAGCGGAGTCTGTAACCTGAAGCGTCTGTAACCTGAAGCGTATGTAACCCGAGGTACCACTGTATTGTTAATTGTGAGGTTTTTTTTACCTCAGGCCTTTTTTTTTTTTTACCCCACTGATAAGTGGCACGTGTGCTTTGACATTCTGTTGCATTGACGGAGAATGGCAGAGACCGATATCCTTCTAAGTGGTGACATCCGGTATTGTCTGAACTGAAACAAAGACATTCATTCCGATTTCTTTTAGAAAGCAGGTTTGTTGTGCAAGACCTTCAAATAAACTTTAATTGTGCAGCTTGGTTTCTTCTCCACGTCTGAATATGTATCATTTTATAAACATTTGCCTCCGAGTGTCCTTTGCCATTAACTACTTTTATACTGACGGCATAGATGAGAGACAGAGAGAGTCAGAGAGAGAAGGTTACACTATGAGCAAGTTTATCATAGCTCCACAGTCAAAACAGCAGTTATACCAAGGAGGCCAGCTGTTCATTTAGAATAGGATCCACAAACCAATTAATCTGGCACACACAACAGAGGACATGCCTATCACAATTATATCATAAAGACTGGCCACCATTTCTGAGTTTGCCAGGGTGTTTTGCCTTATGCAAACAATTCTGAAAGGAATATGTTTCTTTTATTTTAAAAAAAATGAAATTTTAAAATGAAGGAAAAACTTGATGAAGTTTGTGAAATAAGAAATCCATGTCTTCATTTAAAAGCACAACTTTTCAACCGTGGAATTAATGATTGCCCGTTGTGCCCAGTGACAGTAGCTGGATGACCTGAAATCAAAATTGAAGTTGTTAGCCTTTAGAATCCACGACTTATGTCAAAATTAAATGTCCCCCACCCCAATATTCATGTAGGTCAACAGAAAGAACAACAATAACGCACCAAACTCAGTTATCCACAGCAAACAAAATATGATTTCTCCACTACTTTCAAATGTACAGGAATAAATGGTTTTACACCTTCCCGAGTGCCACTTGTCTGTAGCTTTTGAGAGCTGCCAGCGTATAGCTAATTATAACCCAGCTGACGTCTCTTGGCATCACATTCCCCAAGAAAAATAATTGTGCGGCATGGATGCAAGGCAGAAAATGCTAATGGAGACAGCAGACAAAGAACTGCATGTTTATACTGGAGGCAGTGATGGGAGAAACCACATCACTTTGTCTGAGCAGCTGAAGCAGTGAGACACATCAAGTCGCTCTTGTATCTGCTGTGCAGGAGATGCTACTGTCACTATAAGGAATAAAAACAACAACAACAAAAGGAGAGAAGGAGACAGAGAGACAGAGAAAGACGTGGTAGGGGATCCCTAGGGTCCTGAGATGAGGCATGTTCAGAATATTTTCATGCCCTCCCCATTCTCTAAACATGTCTCCCACACAACCAATGTTCCTCATTGTCTCCTGCAATGGATGCTACACTAAACCTGTGAAATCACAATTATTTCCATGGCAACCAGCTGCAACATCAAAACTGAAGGGTTGTGGTTTGACTGGAGCACAGGACAAAAAAGAAGAACTGGTGGACTCTTAAGCAGAAAATAAACAAATCTCTCCCCCTCCCCATTCACCTTTTTCTTAAAGGATCTTGTTAAGAAGGGTTGGCAAATGTATTTTTATTTTCTGGGATGAGATCAATCAACACAACAGCAAGATCCAAACATATCTGCAGGAAAAGGTAATGGTAAAAGCAAAAAAGGACAAGCCTTTCCTGATCCAGGGCAAATTAAAAATTGGGAGAAGTCAGGATGTGGTAGGTCAAATTGTCTTATTTGCATGGGTGGATGCACAGATAACCAGCTCCCCATTTCACCTGTATGCTTGCTACAGTTTTATTAGATGTTTGGTAAATGATTATCTATAGTCACCTATGTGAGGGAATGAAGAGCGATTTACATGAGTCTAATAATCTCTGTTGACCACAGACACACCAGCTGGTATTTATTTATTAAGCACATCTAACACTAACATTCATGAAATCTGCATATTCAAAGAAGAAATGAAGGGCTTAACTTCCCCAATAAACTGCCTATTTACAAACTAAGTCTTGCTAAAAATACACCCTTTTGAAATGGATGTACGTACTTACATTAATCACATCCATTGCACATGTACTTGGATGCAACCCTGTGTTAAAATATATCAACCTATCTCTACAGCACTTTGCATTAATTTGAGCACCATTGAAATCTGAGTCAGGATAAATGATATATGTTTCAGGCAATAGCCATACTCATAATCACACAACAGAGAAGTAGGAAATCGTCCAAATAGTGTCACAGCAACAGGTACATCATGGGAAAAGAGAAACATCTAATAGGGAAAGGTGGGTGAAATATTTCAGGAGCTTGCAAATGGGACTGTAGAACAAGGAGGTGGCAACTGAAGAGGACATTCCCTTGATAAATAAAGATGGAGGGGGCTGACATGAAGAACAGCTGCTTTGAAGATCAAGTACACCAGAAAGATTTTGAACTCAGTAGAGTTTCCACCTGAATCTATAGTTTCAGACCAACATGCTTCTCCCTAACTTCTCTTCACCTTTCTTCCCAACTTTGCTTTCAGTTGTTAGACATGGGAGAGGCAAAAATGTAGGCGGTAAACAGATGTGATGGCATCTTACTATGAAGGTGGGTCTGCCATACAGCTGTAAGTAAGGTGGTGGTTATGTAAAGGGAAGAAGTGGCAGATGGGAGGGAGGCGCTCAACCTTTCTGTCAGGTGCCACTTTTGCTCACCACAGTCTCCTCCCTGCCATGCTCCCAAACCAAATGTTAGTTTGACTGGGGACTGGTGAATAGTGAGCCAAAGCGGTGAGTAGCAAAGGGTTTCCCCCACCTGCTACTCTTCTGCTTCAAATCACTTCTCCAGCTGCTTTGCAGCAGTGGAACACAACTGATGTTTGAAGGCATGGGCTGCAATGCCATCACATCCCATAAGGCTGAGTTTTGTTCTTGGGAGTGAGAAGAGTATTCTAGCCTGTGAGGCACTGACAGCATGGGTGGTGAAACGAACACGATTTCAGAAAAACCCTTTCAACGAACCATCAATGGAAAACAGGAGCTAGAAGGGACACCCACCCCACCTTTGTCACCTTGGACACAGAGATGTCAGTGCACACAAACCTCACCTAACCAATGGCTAGAAGGAGGGCCTGCCTATTTGCCCAGTCTCAGGGTCTAGCTGTTCGCTGTGCTAAATGATGTCCCACCCAGCCCTACAAAAGGAAGGTGCAGGGGCCATGTTGCTTGTTAGTCGAATGTCTTAGCTTACACTTAGCCATGCCTTTGCGTTTCCACTTCACCACTCAGCTTTGCAATCTGTGAGCGTCTGCTTTATGTACCACTCAAATCTGAAAACAAAAGCCTTTGGAAAAACCAGAGTGATGAGTTCCAGTTCCTCATTGGATGAGGAAAGCCAGGATTTCCCTCTTTGTTTGAAAAGGATAGTTTTCCACCTAGACTAGGAGTAGGCACCAAAGTGTCCTCTGGTGAGCTACAGCTCCCCTGACCATTGGCCATGCTGACTGGGGCTGATGTGAGTGCACAACACCCAGAGGGCACCTTATTGGCTACCCCTGCCCTAGACTGTGTGACCTTACCTGCAGGCATCATTAAATCCTTCTGCAAAGGGGTATGTTACATAGATTGATGCTGGAACCAGCAAAGGGTTCTTTCTCAACAAAATCAGGCTTTGAAGTCCTAGCTCCCAGATTGCTGCATGGGACTTGCCCTCAAACAGTCTGCCGCCCTGCTCTACCTCACTCATACAAGCTGACAATACTGAGGAGGTTCCCGGCTTTCAAGCGTGCTTCACGCTACTCATCATCCAAGTGCTCAAAGACTGCCTGTGTGACTCACAATCACACACAGGTCATCTCCTCAGTGCAGCACACATAAAAAAGTGTTGCTGAAGCACATTAAAAGCAGAGACTGAAGCATTTTGCACACCTCTCCAAGCACATTTACTCACTGATGCAAATGGCACGTTGTCTTCCAGGAATCTGACACACAGAGAGATTCTCAGAGGAAGCCGCAACTTGCTATGGCAGAAGACAGCTAACATAAGATTTGTGAGAAGGCTGCTTTGTTCCTTCATTTTTACCTGAACTAACCCTCACATTCCACAGTTTGCCCAACGTAAAATGCACTTAAAAGTTAATAGAATCAAAGATAGCCATTAAATCATTGCGAAACCTGATGTGGAAAAATGTCCTATATTGTATGCAAATAGCAATCTCAATTATTCTGAGTAAGGGTTTTTATGTACCCAAAATGGAAAGATGCATGCACAAAAGAGAGGCTTGGGGAATCTACAAAATTTGCCAAAGCACAAAAATCTTAGAGGAAACCCTACCTTAAAAAACAAAAACAAAGATGACTGAGCATGCTCAGTGGGCATGGAATGCTGACCTTTTGGGGGGTGGGGTGGAATGGAAAACCAAGAGGGGAATGGAATTGTGTGTCTGGATGAACTAAGGATGCAATATTAGGCATGCATGTTTGGGTGTAAGAACAAAATAACACTTCTTCTGGGGTAAACATCCATAGGATTGCAGAGTAAATTCTGCACTATTTCCATTTTTATTTTATTTTTTTAGTTTTATACAGTTGTATAAGATAACTACTGGAAGTTGAACCAATATGACTGATCGCCTAACTTCTGCAACTGATTTTTTTAAAGGATTAGCTAAGTGCAGCTATTGTCTCCTTGCTAAACGTTTCTTGGAATGAAAAATACTAATACAGATAAGCCTTGCTAGAGATTCAGTTAAGGAAAATGGCATCTTTGTATGACTACTACACAGATGGGTACACTCACTAGTGAATTATTTAAAAATAATTCTCTCCCTTTTTTTCTGTGATCCAGTCATAACATTGTTTAGGGTTGTGTTATTCCTGAAGAAAATTATAATAAGAGATAGAAAGCTTAACAGCCAGATCTTTGAAACACGGAATGAGTCACAGTTTGACATCTCAGTTTGGCCTCAAATGCACCAAATGAACAGAAAAAAAATCCAGGTAAAGTTATCTAGAAGCTGAACATGTTTGCTTCAGAACAGAAATGAGCTCTTTTCTAAATTAACATTATTATTAGCAGATGAATGCATGAACCAGATGTTACATATAAAGCATTGTTGTGAAGTACTGAGTCGCACAAAATCCATGTTCACAGCCCAGTAATTGTATATCATAAACTGGTATCTAGGGAATGATGTGAAAGTTAATTTCTGATGCCTGCAGTTCAAGACACTGGGATAGTTTATAAAAGAAAATACTTATGGTGAGTTTAGCTCCCTTTCCACATTAGAAAATCGAGTCTGATATTTTTCCATGCTACTGGCTTTGTATGATTTCTAGGTGAACAGAAAACACTGACAAATCCATGCCTTGCTTTTGACCACACATAGGATAGCTTCATCATTCTATATAACTTCAACCTGCAAAGCTCAGAGCAGTGGTTCCCAATCTTTTTCCACCACTTGAAAATTGCTGAGGTCTTCATGACACACACCCCATGCCTGTTGTAGCAACGGAAATTCAACAGAATGCAAATAGTAATACAATAGACTACAATATGAGAAATAAAAGAAGCAATAAGAATGCAATTACAAATCTATATGGCTATTCAGTGTGATGGACATGCCATATCCCATCTTCAACCACAAACCTAGACATGCCACAGACCAGGGGAATGAGGCTTGAGAACCACAGTTTGCAAGTCTTGGCTTAACAACCTGTTACATACACATAGCCAACAAAAACAGCAAGTATGTGTATTACGATACAAATAGCATTGCATTCATGCAAATGTAGGTGCTCAGGTCTTCTTCTTCTTTGGCGATCACTCGTAGCCGAGTAAGAGTGTCTTCCATATGCACGGTTTTAACAATGAGTCCATAAGTGACTGTGGAGGCCAATTCTGGATCCACACATCCTTCCACAGTGGGGGCATTGGTTTCCAGGTGGGAGTTGGTCACGGTGGGGATTTGCCAAGCGTGCCTTCCTCTTAGCACGTTTCTCCCTTGCGTCCTGAGTTTGAGTGTCTTCAAAGCCCATGGCACCTTTGGTAAAGGCAGTTCTCCAACTGGAGCGCTTGCAGGCCAGTGTTTCCCAGTTGTCAGTGTTTATACTACATTTTTTAGATTTGCCTTGAGACAGTCTTTAAACCTCTTTTGTTGACCACCAGCATTACGCTTTCCATTTTAAAGTTCTGGATAGAGTAGTTGCTTTGGAAGACGATCACCAGGCATCCGCACAACATGACCAATCTAACGAAGTTGAGGTTGAAGAATCATTGCTTCAACACTGGTGATCTTTGCTTCTTCCAGTACACTGATATTAGTTCACCTGTCTTCCCAAGTGATGTGTAAAATTTTTCAGAGACACCATTGATGGAATCTTTCGAGGAGTTGGAGATGGCATTTATAAGTGGTCCATGTTTCACAAGCATATAATAAGGTTGGTAGTACAATAGCTTTGTAAACAAGCATTTTGGTTTCCCTGCGAAT